TTTAAGAGTTTTAAGAGTTTTTAATAGTTTTTAAGAGTTTTTAAGAGTTTTTAAGAGTTTTAGCCAAATGCATTATAAGATAGTATATATATATATATATATATATATATATATTAACCTGGATATCCAACCCGCTATGCGAGTCGACTAATCTCAGGACGACAACCTGCATTGCAGATAGCCCGAAGTCACCGCATTTGAACCTCCGTGGTCACAAGAGAATTTTTATTTCTCACTGGATTTGAACCTGAGACCTCCTGATACTTTTGACCTTTAGAGTCAAGCTCAAACCAATCATGCACCACCCTTGTGGTTATATTATTTATTTTTTTGCATCTAATTTGTATTAACTAACATATTATATTATTCATGATTTGTTTAAAATATATCATGAAATGTTCAAATTTATTATTTTTTAAAAAGCCATTCTTAATTATTTTACGTTTATCATCTAGTTTTCTACAAAACGTAATTAGTTCATCAACTACCAGTTAGCTTATCAACTAACAACTAACTCAACAGTTTGTCAAATATAGCCTTAGTTTATCTGAAAATGCTATGAGAAAAATGCAATTTTCATTTGATCTCTTTTATCATATTAAATTTTGTGACGTTTTTTAGTTGATATGAAATATAGATTTATAGGTTATGTGCATTTTGAATAGATTGTTTAAAACAGACAAAACGGAAATTGTATTATTTATTTTAATTCAACAAATATTTTTATAGTATTCACTAAAATAAAGATTACAAGAAAAACTTCAAATTTAGAAAATCATCAAAAATTTGATGTGAAAAGAGAGAAATAATTTTTTTATTCATTCAGAATAATGAAATTAAATTATAAACGATTTTTAATTTTTAATAAAAAAAAGTTATATTTTTATTCATCAAATATATATATATATATATATATAGAGAGAGAGAGAGAGAGAGAGAGAGAGAGAGAGAGTTTGTTTCAAATACAACCCGTCATATTTGTACAACCAATGCAACCCAATAAATTAAGATATTTATGAAAATGATGACAATTAATTTATTATGACTTGAATATATATGGAAGATGAATATGGTTCATTAATTATGATCAATACTTTATATTAGAAAACAATCAAAACTTCTATGAAATCACATATTAATCAAATGAAATAGATGGTTGAGATTGAGTTGTATTGGTTGCACAAATATCAAGGGTTGTATAATAACCAACCTCTATATATATATATATACACACACACACACACACACACACACATATATATATATATATATATAGGATGTTTCAAATGTAATCCATCATATTTGTACAACCAATACAACCCAATCAGTTAAGATATTTATGGAAATGATGAAACTTCATTTATTATGATTTGAATATTTATGAAAGATGATTATAGTTTATTAATTATGATCAATACTTTATATTGAAAAACAATCACAACTTTTATGAAATCACATTACATCAAATTAAATTGACGATTGAGATTGAGTTTTATTGGTTTTCAAATGTAAAGAGTTGCATAATAATTCACCCCTCTCTCTCTCACTCTCTCTCTCTCTCTCTCTCTATATATATATATATATATATATATTAACTTTATAAATAATACCTATATTATTTTTGTTTTCAAGATAACTTTCCATAACATGTTTTTAAACTTTTTGATTGTTTAATAAAATCGACCATAAATACCATTCTACCAAAAATAAAAAGAAATTTTATTAAGGCTAATCTACGAAAATAATTAATATGATTAATAATTATTGTAAATAATTAATAAATAATATTAATATGTAATGTATGATTAAAATTAAGTATTAATTAATTTTGAATTTATATCAACTAATATGTATTAATGTTAGTAATATTTAAATTTCATTAATATTATGTTATAACTAATAGTAATAAATAATAATTGGAAAAAATGACAATAAGCTATCAAAACATTACTCCAAGTAGCGTTTCAAACCACAAGGGTGATGTTTGATTGGTTTGAGCTTGAGCTCCAAAGGTCAAAAATGTTTGGAGGTCTCGTATTCAAATCCAAGAAGAAATAAAAATCCTTTTGTACCCACAAATGTTCAAATGTGGTGACTCCGGGCTACCCACAAGATAGTTGGTTGTCCTGAGATTAGTCGGCTTGCATAGCGAGTTGGATATTCAGGTTAATAAAAAAAAATTGTGTTTCGATACGTTAGTCAATAAGCTAGCTTATGTGGATCCAAACATGTACAAAAAAAAAACAAGCTAGCTTATAAGAGCATCTATTAAAATATTAATATTTATTTTCAAATTTTTTTACTGGTGGTCTCAATATGGTAATCATTTTTGGAGTGTTCTGCGCATTTGGAGAAAAAACTTTTCTCTTTGCTACTTTCTCCATTTTGGAGATAATTTTGTGGAAGCTGTTCGAACAAATATTACATCAAAATCTTCATTTTCTCTATTTTAAAGAAGTTGTTGGAAATGATCTAAGCTAACTTATATTTACAGAACAACGCCTAACTTTTTTCTGAGACGTTCCAATCTTTTTAGAGGTCCTGTTACATCCAAAAACTTTTGATTACATTGCATAAATGAGATAATAGAGAATATATGTTAAGAACAAAAATGGACTGAACCTAAAACGATTAACAATCTGAAACTAAACTCAAACCATTAATGATTTGAACCTAAAACCAAACAATTAATGGATTGAACCAAAATAATTTCGGCTATAGTTTTACATATGTCGATAAAAAGACCTAAACACATGTAAATTTTGGGCCCAAAATTTTCGGAAGTCTCATTCAAAATCTCACATTTAACATGTTAAGGAACGGTTCTATTTATCTCTAAGATGCAATCTTGCCGTTTGATGTTTATAGATTAATCATTGGAGCAAAAGGGCAGCTCTTATCATATCGTATATTTTTGTCAAATAATCAAGTAATCATTTATTTTTATTGGTATTAAATCACGTATTTTTTCTTAAAAATAATTAATTAAAACCATAAATATAAGATTTTAAACATGAATTAAAATCAAGTTTTGTTTATAGGATTTGGTGGAATTTGTGAAATTTGAAATTAGATTCAAGGACTTGATTTAAATCTCAGGATTTAAATGAAATATCACAAAAATAAATGTACAAATTTCACAGGTAGTTGATATTTTAAAGGATTTTATGTTCGTAATAATATATTAAAAACATTCATTTTGTAATAATAAATTTATAAAAAAATAATTTAATTATTTTTACAGTAAACTAAAAAAAAGTTCGATAAAAATAAGAAAATACCCTTCATCTAATGGAATTTTCGACGAGGGACAAAATATGGATTTTTTTTGTAAACCATGATGACTATCTTATAATTTCAAAACTGTAGAAACAGTACCAAATTTGTAGTTTATTCTCTTATAATTTACTTTTATAATCATCTATAAATAATATAATTTTCAAATTTTAAGGGGCCGTTTACCTAAACACTTACCCATTAAGCACTTAACGGTAAAATTCAACACTATCACTTACTTATCGGATAAGATTTTATTCACTAAAACGCATCGTATGCAACAATTTATCCCGGTAAGCGCCAACCATCGTAAGAATCCTCGTCCTAACTTACCTGGTAAGACTTGTTTCTTGCATTCTCTCTTACCGGGTAAGATTATTAGCCTTTGTCATACTCATTCGATAAAGTAAAGTGACTTGATAAGCGTTTATCCGGGTAAGCGTTTGATAAAAGGCACTTTAGAAACCAAAAACATCAAATATTCCAATTAATTCCACAAAATCTAAATCATTTCCTAAATCCAAACACCCTTCTCAAGGTTATGGAAAGGATTTAGATTCTGGATTTCCCTAAATGATATCATCAAATGCGTTTTCTTGAATTAAAAATCTTTCCAAATTCCAAAATCCAAAATCCCAACATTCTTATTTAAATCCTTCATATTTTTTTCTTCGTCATCGTCATCCTCGTCGTCTTGCAACTCTTTTTTCCACCATCAACAACGTACCACCATCTTTTTCTTCCAAGTTTCTTTGTAACAGTACACATTCATAATGAATATGGATTTGCACCGACATAATGCATCGCCTCCTCCGGTCTACCACTTGTACAACACAAATATACGCGCCTATTTCTTTTTCACCATAAACACTCCTCATCCCTACCATCCTCACACGTTAACACGATCACTACGATACTACCATCCTCTTCCCTATCCTTATACGTGGTTCGTTTATGGAGATCAAGCAGCCATTATCAATATCATCGACTTGTGCGCCTACTACGAAACTCACCACCAACCACCATCACCGTCACCATCACCACCACATGAAGATGGAGGATATGATGAGAGTATTACTAATCTTCCATACCCCAATTTGTTTTTCGATGAAGATGCGATTCTACAACATGAAATCAATCAGGGTTTTCAACGAGCCGCAGATAATAGTGGGTTGACCAAAGAAGAAATCTCCGAGAGTCTGGACATCCAAAAACATATGAATTTGTATGAAGAGGATGAGATTTGTGTGATATGTCAAGCGGGATTCGAGAAGGATGAAACGATAGGGGTCGTTGAATGCAATCATCGTTACCATGCCGAATGCATCAAGGAATGGTTGATTTATAAGAATCTTTGCCCTCTTTGTAAGGCTCAAGCTTTGACAATATACAACACTTCAATTTAGATATAGATATATGGATGGCTTTGCTTAATTTTACTTTACTTGATTCAATTATGTTCTTATGTTTATGATGTGCAATTACAATTTTACCCACAACAAAACTCTAGAATTTTGTTGTTTAGTGGGCCCACAATAATTGCAGACCTATGACTTTTGAACTTGTAAAGTTCAGAGAGAAATGATTAGGAAATCAATTTGTGGAATATGGTCATTTGGGTCAATTTCTCCATAAGTTTAACAAAAATTTAATGTGTATTTTATATAAAGTGTTATAATACGTTATAATAACGAAATTAAATAAGTTATATATATATATATATATATATATATATATATAAAACAAATAAGAGTTCTTTTAAGTACATTGTAATATGACTAAATAAAACCACAAAGGTGGTGCCTGATTGGTTTGAGCTTGACTCCAAAGGTCAAAAGTACCAGGAGGTCTCATGTTCAAATCCAAGGAGAAATAAAAATCCCCTTATGACCACGGAGGTTCAAATGCGGTGACTCCGGGATATCTGCAAAGCAGGTGGTCGTCATGGGATTAGTCGACGTTTTGTTGTTATTTTTAGGGAAAAGTACAATAAAAACCAATGAACTTTCTTGTTTGGAATGATTAAGTCCTT